TAAAAACATGGTTATAAGCTCCACATGCTTCCCACATAAAGACATACACAAAATGACGTGGATCTCACCAGATGGAACCACAACCAATCAAATTGACCATGTGATGATAGACAAAAGGGCAGCCAGTAGTATCTCTGATGTGAGAACACGACGAGGAGCATGCTGTGGATCAGACCATCTTTTACTGCAAACCAAATTTAGGTGCAGAGTTAACAGAGAAAGAAACGAAAGACAACAAAGAACAAACAAACTAGACCTGGAAAAACTGAAGACTCAGGAATGTAGAGAGAAGTTCGAGCAAGAAGTCACAAATGAGCTAAGTACACAAGAACTGCACTCCATAGAGAGCAAATGGAATAATATCAAAACAGCAGTGCTGACAGCAGCAGCGTCCACCGTGGGAAACAAGAAAAAGAAGAGAAGAGGAACATGGTTTGATGACGAGTGCAGGCAAGCGATAGAAGAAAGAAACGAAGCGCACAAAATGTACATAACAAGAAGAACACGGGAAAGACGAACATCATTTGAAGTCGCAAGACGGAAAGCAGACAAGATATGCAGAAACAAAAAGAGAGCTTATGAAAATGGACAAATAGAAGAAATGGAACAAAATTTCAAAAAAAACGAAATTAGAGGAGCTTACGAATACCTAAAAAAGATAAAAAGTGGATATAAACCTCAAACAAGCCTATGCAAAGATGAAAGTGGACAAATAATCAGTGACCAACAGAAAGTCACAGAAACCTGGAAGCATTATTTTCAGACCCTACTTGGAACACAAGTAGATATGGAAGATGAAATGGGTACGAACCATGTAGAAGAGAACGAAGTTGAAGTAGAAGCTCCAACCATAGAGGAAGTTCTCGAAGCTATTGAGGCCCAGAAAAACAATAAAGCCCCGGGAGTTGATGAGATTCCAGCAGAACTGTATAAGGTAGGTGGCAACCACCTATCAAGTCATATCCACGCGCTTATCAAAGAAATATGGCAAGAAGAGAAAATACCCGACGAATGGAAGAAAAGTATAGTATGCCCAATCTATAAAAAAGGAGACAAACTCCAATGCAAAAACTACCGTGGAATTTCTCTACTATGTACAGCGTATAAAGTCCTCACGTATAATATAAACCAGCGACTCCAACCACGAGCAGAAAATATTATTGGAGAATATCAGACGGGCTTCAGACGGGGAAGATCGACAATGGATCAAATATTTACAGTCAAGCAGGTCTTGAGCAAATCGTGGGAACACGACATTGATGTTCACAACGTGTTTGTAGACTTCAAACAGGCATACGATTCAGTCAAAAGGGACAGACTATACTATATATTGGCAGAATTAGCAATACCACATAAACTAATTAGACTCATTAAAGCCACAATGGATGAAACTCAGGCATGTGTACGAATACAAAACAACCGGACAGACTTTTTCAAAATCTCGCAGGGACTAAAGCAGGGAGATGGACTGGCACCAACATTGTTTAACCTGGCACTGGAATATGCGGTTAGGCAAATGCAAACTGGACGAGAAAACCTACTGACCAATAAAACGGTTCAACTGGCTGCCTACGCCGATGATATTAATATTATGAGTAGAACATCAACAGGAGCACAGGAAACATACGCAGAGTTAAAAACACAAACGAAAAGGCTAGGTCTGGAAATTAACACAGAAAAAACAAAAATAATGGTACAGACGAGAAGAAATATAATCCCACAAAACATTATACATGAAGATGACATTGAAACGGTTGGAAAGTTTACATACCTGGGAGTAGAAATATATGCCGATGGAGCAGAGGATGGAGAAATACGAAAAAGGATAACGCAGGCAAACAAAGCTTATTTTGCCCTCTCCCATATATTTCGGTCTAAAAGTGTCCACCGAAATACAAAGATGAGAATATATAAAACTTTAATTCGGCCAATAGCATGTTATGGCAGCGAAGCATGGGTCCTGAAAGAAACATCCAAAAACAAACTCGACACATTCGAAAGAAAAGTACTGAGGAGAATACTAGGACCTGTGAGGGAAAACGGAATCTTCAGAATTCGATATAACAACGAGCTCTATCAACTGTATAAGGAAACACCCCTGTCAGACTTCATTAGAACACAAAGATTGCAATGGGCCGGACATGTGATACGAATGGGAGAGTATAGGCTACCAAAACGAGCACTGAACGCCAGAATGCAGGGAAAGAGACCAGTTGGAAAGCCAAGAAAGCGCTGGGAAGACGCAGTAAGCAGCGACGCACAAGCACTTTTAGGAGTCCGTGTATGGAGAAGAGCAGCCACAGACAGACAAGGGTGGAGGCAAAAAATAAAGGAGGTCAAGGCTCATTTTGGGCTGTAGTGCCGTAGAAGAAGAAGAATATATATATATTATATATATATATATATATATATATATATATATATATATATATATATATATATTGTGAATATAATATATATATATATATATATATATATATATATATATATATATATATATTGTGAAGTTTTTCTGTAATTTATTTGAAGTTTGATATTTTTGGTCATCCAAAGTGTTTTCAGGAACCAAAGCAGTGGTTTCAGGCAGATAATCGTCGGTACATATATCGGTTAAATTTAACAAAATATGGCCTGCATCTCTTTCGCAATTTTCTGTACCGGAATGCATCATGTCTAAACAAAAATATCTTTTGAATGCTGCGGTAAATTATACCGGAGTAGGGTTAACACAATTGCCACCTTGCTGCCTGATTGAACCACAAAAGGTTTCTAGCCAATCTTGATTCATCCGCCTTGTTAAAAAATAATCCATTCCATGTGACTGTAGTAGATTCCACAAATGAATCACTCCATTAATGGTTATTTTCCAACCATTAACATATTTTATTCTTGGTGTTACATTTTTAGCTTTAAAATTAATTACCTGTAAATTATTAAACAATCGGAAACACGCATTAAGAAATTCTTGCTAAGCATCGGTTCCTCTATACGGTCTTTGGTACTCAGTTGCTCCTCTTAATGAAGAAGAATTGAGCATATCAAATAAATTATTAATGTTCCTAATAAATCTTTCGGTTGTTGTTGCTTCCTCGACGAATGCAATAAATCTAATATACAGATGCAGACCGGCAGCAACAGTGTTACTAAATATCTGAGAAGCATATTTCACTTTCATATTTTCAAAATTGTTAGGAGATATATGTAATTCGGTCAATTTTGGCGCTGTACGTATAGGATATTGTTTATCATGTTCGTAAAATTTTTTAATATATTCTCAAGAAACGATAATATCATCAATAACAAACTTGTTTCTTAGGAAGTTATTATGAAGTGCTCTTAATAAATGAGGTGTATCAAAAGAAAAGACAATTTTATTATTTTCATGATAAAAATATGGTCTATCGGCAGATATATTTAACAAATTTGGAAGTTTAAGATTATTAATACCACTTCGAATTTTACTCATGTTCAACTTCACAATACTAACAATTATTCACAAAACTAACTCAGTTTAAGCAAAATACGGCACTGTTAACCCGTACGTTTCTACGCGACTAGCAACGGAAGAATGGTTCTCGAGCGACTAAGAAATAAGCGCAGTCGCTCTGCGCGTTGACAGACTTTACTTCCAATTTTTCAGAGAGTGGTTCTACTGTGGAACCTCTTTATACTGTGCCTTTACGTTACCGACACCATATTTGATAATTCAGAACTCCACGCAAGCTATGATATGTTAATTAATTATATTTTAATACATATATATATATATATATATATATATATATATATATATATATATATATATATATATATATATATATTGTAATATATGTAATTTATTTTAGTTCTTGTTTTTAAATACTAAATGGTTCAATTATCTGTTGCTAAAAGCTGCTATATAACCACTCTACTCATACATAGGTATTATTGTTTTGACAAATAAAATGTCTCCTGTATAATCATCTAAAGAAGATACTGATCTGGAAATAAGCAATATAGTTTAAATGTTAAATTTAATGTTTCGCAAAGTTGTATATACAAAAAAGGACGAGTATTACTTACAACATATGTTTTAAAAAATTCTAACTATAATAAATATTTTTATTAGATCTCTTTATCAAGTTAAAAATATTTTGAACAACCATGTTTGATTTACGAGAAGTTACACATTGAATTGTTTTAGATTTAGCTCTGTACACAGACGTCGCTTGACGTACATGCAAATTTTCCTAGATTTTTTTATTTTCATAAATAATTTAAACAGTTTACCAAGCTGGTACCTAACAATAAACGGATAATCGTTTTGTAAATGGAATATTGTTTAATTTGTGTTACTTGATAGTACGTGACATCTATTTAGCACGAAAAACTTTCCTTTTTATGTATATGTAAAAACTAAATATCAGCATTGCAACAAAAATATGGGGAATTACACATTTATTGTCCACTGATATAATGGTGATTGGTGAATTTAAACTTAGTTTTCTAATATATTTCTAATTCTAACTGGCCCTCTCCCTGAAGTTTCGTGGATTAAAAGGCAGAAAAGTTGTTTAGTTGATATCCGGAGCATATTTTATACATCATTTTTAGAAACACTCCTTAGTTATTAATTGCAGTCCATTTATGTAGTCCGTTATTTCTTTTTTCTATTTACAATTTATTTTAGTACTCATCATCATCATCATCATCAATTAGCCTATATTTGTCCACTGCTGAACGTAGGCCTCTCGTTAAATTTTTTCACCTATTTCTATTTTGAGCTTCTTGCATTCAGTTTGTGGTGATGCGCTTGATATCATCTGTCCATCTAGTCGGTGGTCGTCCTTTGCTTTGATATGCATCTTGCCTTGGTCGCCATCCGTTAATCTGGCAACATGTCCGGCCCAATCCCATTTAGCCATGGCTATTTTTTCAACTGCATCTGTGACTCCTGTTCTTCTTGTTATTTCTAGGTTTGGTACTTTATCTCTGATGGTAATACCTAATATTGATCTTACCATAGCACGTTGTGTAACTCTTAGTTTACCTATTGTTCTTTTTGTCAGAGTCAGTGTTTCTGCACCATATGTAAGAACCTGTAAAACGCACTGGTTAAAAACCTTTCTTTTTAAACAAACTGGGATACTAGATTTAAAAATGTTTTTCAATCTACCAAAGGCAGCCCATGTGAGACCTATCCTTCTTTGTATTTCAGTTGTCTGATTATCTCGGCCTAAGCGAATATCATGGCCTAGATATTTGTAAGCTATTACTTGGTCGATGTTATGGCTCTCAATCAGAATTTTACCGCTGACTACAAGGTTGGTCATAAATTTGGTCTTTGAGGTATTAATTTTAAGACCAATTGTTTTTGACACTTTATAGAGCGTGTGCAGCATTTTGTAGCTTTATCAACTATATCAGATATTAAAACGATGTCATCGGCAAATCTTAGGTGGTTCAAATATTCCCCATTTATATTAATTCCCATATTATACTCTCGTTCCACTTGCTTGAACATATATTCAAGAATAGCTGTAAACAATTTAGGGGAGATAGTATCATCCTGTCTAATTCCACGTTCTATTCTAAACTTCTTGGTATCTTCATGAAGGCGGACACAAGCTGTACCAGTTTCGTAAATACTTTTTATGTTAGTAGTACTACTTCCTAACTCATTAATGTATGTCATTCTTAACAACATAACTAACACATTCTTATACATTATAAATAAAATTTCAATTTACCTAATACTTAATTTAACTTGGCATATAAAACCCTAATCAGACGTTTATAGTAAGAGACAATAAATGTGTCAATTTAAAATTGCTAGAACCGACTCTGATTGTAATCAATTTTCGTCATTAAAAATACTTACATCTTTTTTCATCGCGTCCAAAATGAGCGTTTTTAACTCATTAAGACAGTTATTTATCCTCGCCCTCCGCCTTTTCTCCATAATAGGCTTGTTACTCTGCAAAAAATAAGAAAGGAAATGAGTGATCAAAAGCTGCGAAATCGTGGGAAAGAAGGCTTCAAGACGGGGCCAGTGGCGTAACTCTAGGAACTATTTTAATTATTTTGACGTCCCCTTAGTTGCATATACGGATTGAACGAAATAAATTCGGAACATACGAAATATTATGTATTTCGGCTCAATTCTGCTGTACGTGGTTGGCCAACAAAAGGTTTTCAAATAATTATATTATAAAAATCCAATACTTCAGCGAGCTGCTGGATTCTGAACTAATTCAAGAACTCATTCATAGGTGGTCAAACCACCTATCGCTTCCTAAAGCCGGCCACTCACGGTATAGCGGTGTCGTTCGACATAATCGGACAGAGGCGTTGTTCAATTTGTTGGTATATCTGGTGCGCCCACACACCATACTGCGCCGCAGTATTTGTTCGGTTCTCGACCATGTCAAATCAAACAATCATTTTAGCGTCTCTTACTTTGTGTATAACTAAGCGTAAAAAGGAAATAAAAATAAAACGTAGATTCTGGTGCAAAGAATCCAAGATTTTGGTGCAAAATAAATCTCGTCTGCCCCTGCACCCGATTTACTGGACTGCATTGCTAATTTTAATTCTCTTTTATAGGATGTTCTAAAATTGTTATTTTTTTCTTACATACTCTTCATTCGCATCTTTGTTTACTTCTTGGAACTTTAAAACTAGAATGTCCATTGCCTGTTTTCGGACGTTTCTATCGTGATACGTTTTACCCTTTATTCGCTATAAGCATTCTTGTCTTTTATATAATTTAAAAAACTCTCTTAAAAAATTCTCGCTAAATCAAGCCATTTCGATTTTCTATAATATGATCAAAGCAAGTGATTAAAAACGAAGTTGAACAACGCCGCTGTATCGTGAGTGGCTGCCTTTAGGCAAGCCCCTCTTTCGTTTATCGGAGATGGAGATTTTGAGCGGTATTGCCAATATCATTCCACTAGGTGTTTCTAAAATAACTACAAACTTCTGAAATAACTACAAACCATTAAGTTTATTTTTGTTATTAGTCTGTTGTAGTAGATTGGTAAATACAATGAAAAATATAGGCAAATATCCGATTGATTTAAAGATACGAAGAAGATATAACTCTCAAAAAGATCCGCAAATCGGATTATTACACGGCGATTGGCAACATTAACTTTGAGCTGCGCTCTAGACTATGGTGCGTTCGAAAAAGGAGACGGATAGTTGAACGATATTTTATACAATGTCTAACACCGGGTATGGATTTATTTTTGTCCAAGTTTTATATTGGTCCACTATTTCAAATGCAGTTCAAACAGACATATATTAAATTGTATGATCCGTTTTAAATTCGTTCAATCTGTATGAGTTTGTTTATTAACAGTCAAATCCAAGATAATTTCGAAAGTATAATAAATATTAATAGAATAGATTTCTTCTTGACTGGCTTTACAACTCGGGGTGAGTCTTCGCCATAATCACTATAGCCCTCCATCTTTTCTTTCTATATATATATATATATATATATATATATATATATATATATATTATATATATATATATATATAATCGAAGAGTGGCGGGTTTTTTCGGTCAAAAATTGGAGAAAAAAGACAAAGATGATGGCTACTTCATCTATTTATTGAAAACGTTTCGCTATCCAATTTGATAGCATCATCAGTTCATCTAAAAAGAACAATATAAAAAACCTAACATCCAATGAAAAGTTATTAAGTATGTTATCCCAAAAAGATATGTAGCAGTCAGTGATATTACCAATTGTAAAAAAAATTACGACAATGGAGATTGTATAATTATGTTGTATAAACAATAAATTGAACTAAATATAGTTAACAATTTTCATAAAATTAGCACAGCAAAAAACATGTTGTAGTTGTACATGTATGTAAAAAAAATTATAAGTAAAAACTTATCATATATAAAAAACACAATTAGTGTGGAAGATAACACCTTAACCACAAGTTGGTATAGAAAACCTATGGCCTCTAATAGGTTCCTTAATTACCATTCCTGTCATCCTTTTAAATTAAACTTATTTAAAGCTTTAAGCTGCAGACTAAATAGATTGACACATCCGGTTAATCGAAGGGAATCCCTTCAATCACTTAGAAATATTCTCTTTGAGAATTCTTATTCTTCTTCTCTCATTAACAAATACCTTTTTGTATACAAAGCTATGGTTCCTCTTTAAATGACATACCCAATGGTGACCAACTTAGAATAATATCAAATAATTCTTTGAATGACACTGTTCTGCCTGCACTTGGGAATCCTACCACCCACTACTCATCTTTACCTTACTTTCCTCAAGTTACTGACAAACTTATTACACTGTATAAACAGAAGAACATACCTCTTAAAATTGAGGTTAAGAATGCCAAGACTGTTTTTGTTCTCAAAAACCAAAACACCCTTGTCCCTTCTGGAACAAGTTAATGTCATTTATCATTTACCTTGTGCTGAGTGTGACTCGTGCTACATCGGTCAGACTGGGAGATCACCGAGAGGGCATCTTACGACACACCGCAGTGATATCAACTTATCTAAGCATACTTGTGCCCTTGCACAGCATGCTATCAACACTAAACACAGAGTAGATTTTAATGAAGTTAAGATTCTTGGTTCTGAACGCAATCTCGTTAAAAGACAGTTTTTAGAAATGTGTCATATACTAACACCCTAATACTCTTAATAAGAGAACTGACATTAGTAACTTGAGCCAAATTTACCATGCTCTAATATTGCAGAATTTGGCTTACTATGTTATTTACTTTAAAAATTGTCACCTAAGGTGTTTTCTTTACATAATTTCTTTTTAATAATTTTCAAATATAAATTAAAATAAATTAAATAATAAACTCTTACTTTAAATTATCTTAGATTTATGCAACCTATATTTCATGACTTAATGTCAACGTTGCTTTTGTATAATTGTATTAATTGTTTCCATACAAATAGTTTAATACAACTTTATTATTATAAATTGATTCATAGAATCCTATTAAATTCAGTTCCAAATGTAATGAACCTTGGACTGTTGGAAGTTTGATCATCCTTTCCCTGTGGCTGGCTAACCAGTCACAACGTAGACTATTAACATATGATTTTTTGGATTGACTTCTCTTGTTTGTTCTTTATTTCATCTCAACCGATCACTGGAGGGAAAATGGAGTTCTCAACCACCTTTTCCTTTCAGTTTTTGGTTTTTACAGACAGTTTGTCGACCAAATTTGTCATATTTTTTAAATAAACCGCTCTATTGTACTGGAGTTGGTAGTAATACGCCTTGTAGTTCTGTCACTCGTTGACCTCTTGGCATCTGTCTTTTCACGTTTTTGACGTTTAACACCTGTTGCCTTCATTTCACCAGCAGCACTCGACAAGCTCTCAGTGGTAACTTCATTATTACTTTTAAATTACTAAATTTTTAATTAATCATTAGAATAATGTTACCTAAAGTTAAAATGAAATCTTAATTATTGATTTACTGTTGGAAGTGCATTCTTGGATCTTTTAGTTCTTTTCCACACTAATTGTGTTTTTTATATATGATAAGTTTTTACTTATAATTTTTTTTACATACATGTACAACTACCACATGTTTTTTGCTGTGCTAATTTTATGAAAATTGTTAACTATATTTAGTTCAATTTATGATTTATACAACATAATTATACAATGTCCATTGTCGTAAGCTTCTTTACAATTGTTAATATCACTGACTGCTACATATCTTTTTGAGGTAACATACTTAATAACTTTTCATTGGATGTTAGGTTTTTCATATTGTTCTTTTTAGATGAACTGATGATGCTATCAAATTGGATAGCGAAACGTTTTCAAAAAATAGATAACGTAGCCATCATCTTTGTCTTTTTTCTCCAATTTTTGACCGAAAAATCCGCCACTCTTTGAGTGATCCTTATTTTATATTGGATTGACGGTCGTACTCCTTTTCTCTATATATATATATATATATATATATTATATATATATATATATATATATATATATATTATGTATATATATATATATATATATATATATGTATATATATAGATGTATATATATAGATGTATATATTTAGAAGGTAAAGATAAAGATAAAAAGGCTTCCGTAAAAAGGTTGGCTATTACGGGTGACAGTGTGAACCCATCGGTGCCCCTTCAACTAGTGAAGATATGGAATCAAAAGCAATAGAAACAGCAGAGCATAAACCCAAACTGCGGCTTAGGTATGTTGATGACACATTCATTATCTGGACGCATGGAGAAGAGAAACTTAATGAATTCCTACAACACAATAATAATATCCATCCAAAAATACAGTTTACCATGGAACGGGAGAATAACCGACAACTTCCATTCCAAGATGTGTTAGTTATTAAGAAAGAAGACGGAAGCATAGGACACACAGTATACCGAAAACCAACTCATACTGACAGATACACGCAGACTCACACCATCATCCTGCACAATTAAATTCGGTAATAAAAACTTTAATAACAAGATCTGAAAAACTGACAAATAAGGAACATAAGAACGAAGAAATGCAAAAAGTCAAAACAGCTCTAAGAAAAAATGGCTTCTCCATGTCTACGATTAAAAAGGCACAAAAATCTCGAAACAAAATCAAATATCGAGAAGAAGAAGAAAAGCCAGTCGGAAAAACTATCCTGTCGTATATTAAGGGTACTACAGATAAAATCAGCAGAGTGCTACGAAAAAAACAAAATAGAAACTATTTTTAACACCGACAAAAATATCGCAACCATATTACCATCAGCAAAAACAAAAGTTGCATTGGAAAATCAAGGTGTATACAGAATCCAGTGTAAGTACTGCGATAAATCGTACATTGGACAGACAAATCGAAGGATACAAGTTAGAGGCGAAGAACATCGAAACGCCATCGAAAGAAAAGAGAAAACTTCATCTGTAGCACAACATGCCATACACACAGGACACAAAATAG